CGGGTCGGGGCGGGGCTGGGTGCGTGCCGGTGTCCGTGGGGGTGAGTTTGTGTGTGCAGGCGCTGGGTGCGGGGGGTGTGTGTGTGCACACGCCGGAGGTGTCTGTGTCCATGCCGGTGTGCGGGGGGGTGTGTCCCCCCGTGCGTGTGCAAGGTGTGTCCCTGTGCGTGTGGGTGACAGGTGCAGGGCGGTGCGTGTGCCTCCGTGTGTACGCGGGGGGGTGTGCCGGGCCCCTGTCTGTGGGGGTGTGCTGTGGGTGTGCGTCCCTTTGTGGGGCTGCATCCCCGTGTGCGTGTGTCCATGTCCGTATGTCCTTGCACATGTGCATTTGCATGTGTGCCCATGTACAAGGGTGTGTCCACGTGCAGGCGGGCATCTGCACAGGGGTGCCCATGTCCCTGTGGGTCTGCATGCCCACATGCGGGGTGTGGAGCTGTGCCACGTGTGTTCCCTGGTGCCACGTGTGTTCCTAGGCGCTGGGGGTGGACGCGTGCTGGTACATCTGTGCTGCCAGTGCCCCTGTGCCCGCCGCGGTGCCTTGTGCCCTGTGGGTGTTACAGTGCCCAGGTGTCACTGCGAGGACCATCCAGCACTGGTGTGGGCTCCCCAGAGAGGCTGTGCTGTCTAAAAAAAGGCCAGCCCAAGGGGGCCCCAGCCGTGAGCAAACTGGTCTGAGCCCACAGCTGACCCCGCTTGGAGCAGGGGGTCAGACTATAGATGTGCTGAGGTGCTCTCCAGTGTTAATGACACTGTGGTCTGAGTGCACATCTCGGGTACCAGAGTGCTCTGTGCTGTGCAGGGGGAAGCCGGAGTCCCTGTGTGCTGAGGTCCAGGGCACAAAGCCCCCCTCAGTGTCGTTCCGAAGTTACCAGGACCAGCGCTTTTCTGCTGTCCCTGGGCAGACCTCTCTGGTCCCCGAATCTCTCATCTGTGCAAAAACCCGCTTTTCTGCAGACTCCAGCTCATTTGACTCTGTGGCTGCTGAGAAGATTGGCTGCTGGTCCCAGCAGAAACAGGTAATTGGGTGGAAGGTGGGGAAATGGTCATAAATGCACAATAAGCACAATGTTACACATGGCTCTCTAATTTAGCAGACTACCGCTGCCTGTAATGGTATTTATCATAGCACTCTCTTAGATTAGATTAACATTAGGGGAAATTTCTCTTGTGATTACTAAAATATAATCTAAAATTGCAGTCTTCTTTGGTAAAAGATGATAATAACAATAATAATCAGAGCTAGCAGAGAAATGAAGTAGGTCTTATTACATTAGCAAGAATTTAGGAAAACCTTATGGCAGCTTCTTTGCTAACTCCAGTAAGGCAGAGACTTCTCGGTAGCTTGCTAAATTGGCCGTATAAACTCTGAAAATATATGTGTTTGTCCATTCGTTTTCAGATGTGTGCAAGCACACCAGATTATTTGTAGAAAAGCTCTACTTAAAAAAACAAATTTAGAACCAGACAAGTTGCCTTGGCAGGATGAGTGCAGAGTCTGCCTGGGAGTGGGGATTTGTTCTTCAGCACCGGAGAAAGCCGCCACAGCACCCCAGCACGAAGCAGGTGTGCTTGTGCCCGGTCGAGGGGGGAATTCACACACCTGCCCCGGGGTCTGGGGAACCAAGGGATGGGTAAGGGACAGCAACAACAAGGGAGGGAGCAGTGGGGGAAGAGGGAAAGTCCTGGGGCATCAGAGATGTCAGGAGTGGGTGCCTGGACCAGACAGTCATATGTGCAGGGCCACTCGTGCCCACCTGGAGGTACTTCTGGAGTGGAGCTGGTGCTCCTGCCTCATGGCACTGCCTGTGGCTTCTCACCAAACATACCTTTGTAATGTGGGATTACATAAATGATTGACAATTTATAACTAATTTATGCAATACCAAAAAGCAGTCTATCTGCTCTGTCCTGCCTTTGCCTTGGGTCTTGCCATTGGGTCATCAGGGACAAAAGCTGCAGCCTCCGTACAGGCAGAGATGACAGAAATGACCCCAAGCAGGTGGAAACCAGCCCCTCGGTCGGGTGGCCACGCTCAGGGGCCTGGGCTGGAGGGGCCACATCTCCCATTTGTGGGTTCTTCCTGCAGTGCCTGGGCTGGCCACATCCTGGAGGCCAGGAGATCTGCCAGCAGCTTCATTGAAAGGTTTGGCGGGGCTGTTCCAAAATGAGGGGGTTGCTTGTTCCCAGCATGCAGCATGAGCTGCTACACGG